AGAATAATCCAAGTGTCTGTTCATTGAATTCCAAATGATTAGATGTTACCGCGTAGAGCTCTTATAAAAGACAATCTAAAACAATAGAACCCACTGTGCCCTTCAGCCCATTTTGCTGCCCTAAAGTGGAAGTCAAGACACAGTAGTGACGCTGAGGTCAGTAGGAGTGACATAAAAGATTGACAGATCTGGAAACGTTGGTGCCTGCGTTCTTCAGCACCAAAAGCCTCTGCATTAGAACAGTGTGAGCAGGGAGCTTGGTTACCACAATTGTAAGTTTAGCCTAATTCTGACCCCCTCACTCTGTACACGGGGCTATACTTTACCTAATCCTGACCCCCTCACTCTGTACACGGGGCTATACAGTACCTAATCCTGAACCTCTCACTCTGTACACGGGGTTATACGTTACATAATCCTGGCCCCCTCACTCTGTACACGGGGCTTTATGTTACCTAATCCTGACCCCCTCACCCTGTACACGGGGCTATATGTTACCTAATCCTGACCCCCTCACCCTGTACACGGGGCTATACGTTACCTAATCCTGATCCCCTCACTCTGTACACGGGGCTATACGTTACCTAATCCAGATCCCCTCACTCTGTACGCGGGGCTATATGCTACCTAATCCTGACCCCCCCTCACTCTGTACACAGGGCTATACATTATCTAATTCCTGTTCTTAGCTGACAGGAGTGGCACCCGCCGTGGTCTTCTGCTGCTGTAGCTCATCTGCTTCAAGGTTGGACGTGTTGTGCGTTCAGAGATGGTATTCTGCATGCCTTGGGTGTTAACGAGTGGTTATTTGAGTCACAGTTGCCTTTCTATCATCTCGAACCAGTCTGCCCATTCTCCTCTGACCTCTGACATCAACAGGGTATTCTAGCCCAGAGAGCTGCTGCTCACTGGATATTTTCTCTTTTCTTCCCCATTCTGATGCTCAGTTTGAACTTCAGCAAGTCATTTTCACCACGTCTAGAGGCCTAAATGCATTGAGTTGTTTCCAATGAGATTGGCTGATTAGCAATTTGTGTGACAAGCAATTGAACAGGTGTACCCAATAAAGTGGCCGGTGAGTGTACGTTACATAATCCTGACCCTCTCACTCTGTACGCGGGGCTATATGTTACCTAATCCTGACCCTCTCACTCTGTACGCGGGGCTATATGTTACCTAATCCTGACCCTCTCACTCTGTACGCGGGGCTATATGTTACCTAATCCTGACCCTCTCACTCTGTACGCGGGGCTATATGTTACCTAATCCTGACCCTCTCACTCTGTACGCGGGGCTATATGTTACCTAATCCTGACCCTCTCACTCTGTACGCGGGGCTATATGTTACCTAATCCTGACCCTCTCACTCTGTACGCGGGGCTATATGTTACCTAATCCTGACCCTCTCACTCTGTACGCGGGGCTATATGTTACCTAATCCTGACCCTCTCACTCTGTACGCGGGGCTATATGTTACCTAATCCTGACCCTCTCACTCTGTACGCGGGGCTATATGTTACCTAATCCTGACCCTCTCACTCTGTACGCGGGGCTATATGTTACCTAATCCTGACCCTCTCACTCTGTACAAGGGGCTCTACGTTACCTAATCCTGACCCCCCTCACTCTGTACACAGGGCTATACATTACCTAATCCTGACCCCCTCACTCTGTACACAGGGCTATACGCTACCTAATCCTGACCCCCTCACTCTGTACACGGGTCTATGCATTACCTAATCCTGACCCCCTCACTCTGTACACAGGGCTATAGGTTACATAAGCCTGACCCCCTCACTCTGTACACAGGGCTATAAATTACATAATCCTTACCCTCTCACTCTGTACGCGGGGCTATATGTTACCTAATCCTGACCCCCTCACTCTGTACACAGGGCTATAGGTTACATAAGCCTGACCCCCTCTCTCTGTACACAGGGCTATAGGTTACATAAGCCTGACCCCCTCTCTCTGTACACAGGGCTATAGGTTACATAAGCCTGACCCCCTCTCTCTGTACACAGGGCTATAGGTTACATAAGCCTGACCCCCTCTCTCTGTACACAGGGCTATAGGTTACATAAGCCTGACCCCCTCTCTCTGTACACAGGGCTATAGGTTACATAAGCCTGACCCCCTCTCTCTGTACACAGGGCTATAGGTTACATAAGCCTGACCCCCTCTCTCTGTACACAGGGCTATAGGTTACATAAGCCTGACCCCCTCTCTCTGTACACAGGGCTATAGGTTACATAAGCCTGACCCCCTCTCTCTGTACACAGGGCTATAGGTTACATAAGCCTGACCCCCTCTCTCTGTACACAGGGCTATAGGTTACATAAGCCTGACCCCCTCTCTCTGTACACAGGGCTATACGTTACATAATCCTGGCCCCCTCACTCTGTACACAGGGCTATACGTTACATAATCCTGACCCCCTCACTCTGTACGCGGGGCTATACATTACCTAATCCTGACCCCCTCACTCTGTACACGGGGCTATATGTTACCTAATCCTGACCCTCTCACTCTGTACACGGGGCTATACGTTACATAATCCTGACCCTCTCACTCTGTACACGGGGCTATATGTTACCTAATCTTGACCCTCTCACTCTGTACACGGGCTATAAGTAACATAATCCTGACCCCCTCACTCTGTACACGGGGCTATATGTTACCTAATCCTGACCCTCACACTCTGTACACGGGCTATACGTTACATAATCCTGACCCTCACACTCTGTACACGGGGCCATATGTTACCTAATCCTGACCCTCACACTCTGTACATGGGGCTATACGTTACATAATCCTGACCCCCTCACTCTGTACACGGGGCTATATGTTACCTAATCCTGACCCCCTCACTCTGTACACGGGGCTATAAATTACATAAGCCTGACCACTCAGCAGTAAGGAGTGTGCAAATGACATCAATGCTTACCAAGTTTAGCAGCTAGCAGTATGTAATGCACGGCACAGCTTACAGGGAGCATTTAATATACACAGACCGGTGTAAAGAGAGCAGGGGGTCAGGATTATATTATGAATAGCCAGGGCTTGAAAAATGTTAGGGTGTTTCACCAGTCAGTCGAAAATGTCACCAGTCAGCATGAGCGGACTATAGCCTTGCAATTTATGTTAACATTTTTAGGGGACAGATAGAGCTTTCTTTTGGTGGTATATAATCACCACTGGGGGGAAGGTGATGAAAAAAGTACAATGAAAAAAGTACCGTAAATGTAAAAAAAAATAAAAATAAAGTTTCCTTATGTTGTTATGTTATAAAACATTTATTCTTACCCATATTTTTGGTAAAACATAAAAGTCGGGGTCACGTCGGGTAAATAGACACCAAACATGTCAAGCCTTAAAATTGTGTACGCCCTCAAAAACGCCCATAGGCGACGCTTAAAACGCTTTTACTGCTCATCAGTTTAGTGTCATCAGTGATTAACGGCCCTAAAATTATTGCTCTCACTCCGACGTTTGCAGCGATATGTAACATGTGCGGCACAATATGCGCAATCGTCGTTTTCGCACATATGTGGGGGGGCGGAGACTTAGAAAAATGTTGTTTTCTTTAAAAAAAAATGTTTACGCTTCTTTATTTTTTATGATTCTTTAATTTTTGTATTACTTTTTTTTTAACACACAACTTTATTGCTATTACATGGGGGGCTAAGAAGCACCCTATGTGATTGCCAATTTACATGACAGGTCCTCTTTATGGAGACATCAGGGGTCTCCAAGACCCCTAATGTCACCTAGGGACGCCCAGAGAAGCTGATGAAGCAGAGATCGGCTTCATCAGCTTCTCTAGCTGGAGAGTGACACTGAATGCAGGAAGTGATGTAATATACATCACTTCCTGCATTCCGGTACTGAGAGAAGATCAAAAGGGAGATCGTATTCTGCTCTCCCGTCACAGACTCATGCCGGTCCCGGCCGCGTTGGGCACAGCGGATCTCGGGACCGGCAGTAACAGCTGAATGTAAAGCTCCCGGCCAGCCGTGTAATTACAATGGCCGGCCGGGAAGCTGCTCGTCGGGCTCCACCGTCCTCTCGTCACAGACGAGCGGATTTTTCAAGCCCTGTGAATAGCACAGTATACGGGGTAGTGGGCAGGACAATGCAACATAGGACGGAGCATACAGATCACAGCAGTCAGGAGTTTGTAGCGTACAGTGTACATTACATACTCTGGAGAGCGAGTTAGTTCACATTTTCTGTGAAAAAGTGAACTCATCCTTAAAGTAAGCCCCTCCCACTGCCAGTGCAGTGCAGCCACACACACTGTTCACTGCAACATGCTAGCACACTGTGCCACCCTTATCTTTCACGATCCTAGCAACACCCCTGCTGTTGAGTACAGGAAGTAATGTTCAACACCAAGCCACCCTTTCCCACCATGCCTTATCTGTCTGCATTGCATAAAGTAGCACAGAGACCCAGTGATGACATCAGGGAGTATAAAATTAGGGCTGCAATTAAAACAGAAATATTTCATTTAAAAATGGGCAGGACCTGGGAAAGCAAAATATATTAAACTTCAGCTCTAACAAATAAGCATAACACATGGGGGTGTATCTTCCGACATGGCCTTTCTTTGCAGATCTCTCAGCATTAGGTCACATTTTCTATGAAATGAATACCGGAGGAGTTCCCACCAGGCACTGGGAATGGGATCCCAGGTGTGAATAAGGAACAGATGATACAACACCAAGCACAGGTCACTGACTGGGGACCCAGCTGCAACATGATATTTGTACTGGTCCAAGAGGCAAATCCCCCTCAGCGCAGTCCTCCATATGTGGAGATCTCCCCATTCTACAAGAGCAGCCGGTGTGAAGTCCTCTGCAAACCATACTACAACCCCCACCCCCGTGTGACTGCAATGCAGGAAGTAGTGTCTGCAATGTGGGGACACGGTGATGACAGGTGACACACAGTCCGCTATACTCAGGTAACAGCTGCTGCCCCCGACTCTCCATTACCTGTCCCTTTATCACCGGTTCTGACAGGATCTCTATCCCGTACTTCATCTCCGTCAGCTCCTCCAGGTTCAGGAAACCCAATGACGCCGATGTGAGTCCACACAACACCCACAGAGCCAGGCAAAGCTGAGCCCATTGCCCGGGCACCGCCATCTTCTCTCCCCTCGCACAACAACACGCACCTTCCTCCGAACTCCCACACACCGCCTCTTTACACCTGCTTTATGCCGATTGGCTAACACACTGACAGCCGAGTCGCTTATTGGTTCAAAAAACTGCCTTTCATTTCTCGCCTCTTTCTGCTTACTTCCTAATCGATCGCCCCACCCACAGAGCCTAATTCTTGTACGGAGCTGTAACTCTGTTGGTGGAAGATCTGCCACTCACTCCACTCTGTTACTGCTGATTGGCTAAAGCGCTGCCGGCATGGCCTTATTTTGGCTTGCTCACAGAATGGCTGCGATTGGGTAAAATCAATGATGAGCTGACCCAATCAGAGGCCTCCGGCACAGCTATTGTTAACCATGTGTGTCCTGCTTGGTCCAGTCAGGCAGTAGCCGGGGTTTTTGGGAGAATCATTGAAAATCTATGTTTAGTTTTACGAATCATTTAGACCAGTTTTCTCAACCTTTTTCAGTGCCTTTTAAAAGTATGCAAAATCATCTGTACAAAACAACACATTACAGTCCCTCCCTTTTAGATCAATTGCCCCCCTTCACATCAGAGTCCCTCCCTTTCATATCAAATGCCCCCCTTCAAATCAGAGTCCCTCCTTTTCACATGAAATGCCCCCCATCACGTTAGTGTCCCTCCTCATATCAAATGCCCCCCTTCAAATCAGAGTCCCTCCTTTTCACATGAAATGCCCCCCATCACGTTAGTGTCCCTCCTCATATCAAATGCCTCCCCCATTCACATCAGAGTCCCTGCCTTTCATATCAAATGCCCCCCTTCACATCAGACTCCCTCCCTTTCACATCAAATGCCCCCTTCAAATCAGAGTCCCTCCTTTTCACATCAAATGCCCCCCTTCACATCAGAGTCCCTCCTCATATCAAATGCCCCCCTTCAAATCAGAGTCCCCCTTTTCACATCAAGTGCCCCCTTTTCAATTCAAAGTCCATACTTTTTATATCAAATGCCCCCTTTTACATTAGAGTACCTCCTCATATCAAATGCCTCCCCCATTCACATCAGTGTCCCTGCCTTTCATATCAAATGCCCCCTTCAAATCAGAGTCCCTCCTTTTCACATCAAATGCCCCCCTTCACGTTAGAGTCCCTCCTCATATCAAATGCCTCCCCCATTCACATCAGTGTCCCTGCCTTTCATATCAAATGCCCCCTTCACATCAGAGTCCCTTATTTTCACATCAAGTGTCCCCCTTCAACCCAGAGTCCATACTTTTCATATCAATTGCCCCCCTTTACATTCACATCAGAATCCCTCCCTTTCATATACAATACCTACCCTCACATCAGAGTCCCTTCCTTTCCAATCAAATGCCCCGCTTAGCATCAGAGTCCCTCCATGTTATATTAAATGCACCCCTTCACATCAGAGTCCCTCCCTTTCATATCAATTGCCCCCCTTCACGTCAGAGTCCCTCCCTTCACATCAGAATTCCCTCTTTTTCACATCAGAAGCTCCCCCTCCGGATTTAGCAAAAATGTGAAGGCACCCTGACAAAACCAGAAGGCACCCCAGGGTGCCACAGCACTCTGGTTGAGAAAGGCTGATTTAGACCTTGGCACCCTGATGTAATATAATTGGTGCAAATACTCATCCCCTTTCCAGCGATGTAACATCCGAAAGCTCCCTCACTTCTAGTACCGTGTTTCCCCGAAAATAAGACACTGTCTTATATTTTTTTGACCTCAAAAAAACACACTAGGTCTTATTTTCGGGGTAGGTCCTTATTTTAATTTTTTATGTACAACAATCCACACTTATTTATGTACAACAGTCTACATGTATTCATGTACACAAATATGGTGATCAGTGGTGCAGTACCTTTCCAAGAGCAATTTGCTAACCAATTGCTGGGCAGAATGAGCGAAGGGCACTTTCACTATCGATTCCTCACAGGCGGAGTGCATTTGGTATCACTCCGCCTGTGACAGGAGTTGGCATTGGCTTATGCGGCTCTGCTCCCTCCAGTGCCGCCTTGCTTCCTCTATAGCTGGCTTAGTTGGCACCGCTGAATTGTCTCCCGCGGCTCTTCAAGTTCCATCTTATGCCACCACCGGCCCTGGAAATGGTCACAACTAGGTCTTATTTTCCGGGTAGGTCTTATATTTTAGCAATTCCCCAAAATAGTACTAGGTCTTATTTTCGGGGTAGGTCTTATTTTCGGGGAAACAGGGTACTGGCTTCTCCTGCCATCTTGATTAGCTGACAGAGGTGATGTAACTCCAGCACATGTGTAGCTCAGTGTACATACTGAAAGAGATTGGGAACAAGCAGGTAATTATACTAAAATTGGGAGGGTAATAGACACAGACATAGACACTATAACACTAAACAGGAGGACCTGGATAAAATAGGGGGAGTGGGCAATTATATGTCAGATGAGGTTCTTGAGCGATATTGCGCGACGAACGATATTGAGCGATATTGAGCGACTTGTCCTATTGGGCTGTATGCAATCAGGTGCAAAATCGCTCAAAATCGCTCAAAAAAAGGGTCATGTGGGAGCGACAAGCTACCAGCGACGAGCTACAAGCGATATTGAGCGATATTGAGCGACGAGATGTGAACAGCTCCATTGAAATGGATTGGAGAAGCTACATAGAGCGATATCGCGTGAAAATATGAGCGATATCGCTGCAAAAATCGCTCGATAAATCGCTCAGTGTGAATGGGGCCTGAGACGGGTTTGGAGACCTAAAAACATCGCCCGAAAATCGGGGGTCGTCTTATACGCCGGGTATGGACGCCGGGTATACTGAATACTGTATGTAGCTTCGGCTACATACAGTATACCGCGCTGAGCCAATCACGGCAGGTTTTGTATTAATGAATACAAAGCCTGTATTCAAAGCCTGCCGTGATTAGCTCAGCGCGGTATACTGTATGTAGCAGAAGCTACCGTACATACAGTATTACCGCACATCCAGCAGGCTGACAAATTAGCCTCCCTGGCGGTCTGATGATTTTATTTTTATTTTTTAGTTTTTTGTTCTACTTTTTTTTCACTTTTAAAATTGCCGCCGGTTCCGCCCTTCTGCGACGCGGACGCTCACAAGGGACGGAAGACGGAGGACACAGCGGGGATCGTGGACAAGGTAAGAGAGTGTAATCCCGAGTGTGACTCGGGGTTACCGCTTATGCTACTAAAAATTAACCCCAAGCCACACTCGGGAATACCGCCAGGGAGGATAGTGGGTGCATTTAAACATTATTTTGGGCTATACTCGTCTTATACGACGAGTATAGCCCAAAACCTATATTTTAACACAAAAAGTAGGGGGTCGTCTTATACGCAGAGTCGTCATATACGCCGGCAAATACAGTAATTAAGGGGCTGGAGGCTGTGAATAAATTGAGAAAGAGAACTGTGTGTGTATGTATATGGGGTTGGCCAGGGGATCTTAAGAAGAGTCAAAAGGCTATTTCATTGTTACCAAGTGTTCCAGATCAAGAGGGACAGTCCCAGGATTTTGGATCATGCAGAATCCTGGACACTTGGAACTTAGCAGAGTAGCAGCTGGATGCCAAATCCTGAAGTCATTTACATTCCAGCAACTGCACTGCGGTTGTGAGTGTGGTACTGAGGGATCTAATGTCTGACAGTCACAGTATAGCCCCAGCATCAGCAGTGTGGCAGCACAGGAGCATGAGTTCACATAAGCAACAACTGAAGACCAATATTTATTCTTCCTCCCACTGACACAAAATGATTTGGGGATTATTTTGCTTACACAGTCATCAAGGATCTGGGGCTATTTATGCTCCCATTGGCACAATAGATTTTTTTAATCCTACTAACGCCAAAGATATACATATTGTGGCATTACCAAGCTGCTTACATACTGTCACACCTAACTGAAGTCTATATTTTAAATATTTTGGGAATAATTGGGGATACCGGGGTGGGAGGGAGTTCGTAAAATACGGGGTTGTGGTTTTTAAGTGTTTTTGTGCACTCTGTTTTTATTTTTTAAACTTTTAAAACAATGCAGTGTGGTACTGAGCTAAAAGAATTGCACAAACTATACTATGAAACTGTTGTGCCACCGGCCAGTCTGTAGGAAGTGGAGGGCTTTAGCTTTATTATTTTTTAAGAGAAACCTAACTATAGCTTTTAGATTTGTTGCGGCTTCTACTTCCGCCGGTCAATTCAGGCCAATTACCTATTGATTAAAAAAAAAAGAAAATCAGGTGCAGCCAAAACTACCTAAACAAAGCTTTTTTTTCCAAGTTGAAGTGAATTAGATTTGGTTGCTGCTGCTGAATTTAAGCCATGCTAAATATAAAAGTTAAACAATTAATTACACATTAAAAATAGGTGATGCCAGAAAACAGTGTCCATGAAATTGTACTATTCCATATTACCACGTACAACATCACTCAAGCATGTCATTAAAAGGACTGGTATTTTTCCCATGTTGCCCTTGTAGCTGCCAAAAAGGACCCTCTTCCTGCTACGGTATATAGCGTTTGTGTCCAGATGTTATTATTATTAAAATTATACAGGATTTATATAGCGCCAACAGTTTGTGCAGCACTTTACAATATAGGGAAGACATTACAATCACAATACAATTCAAGACAAGATGGTAAGGAGGGCCCTGCCCGTGACGGCTTACAATCTAAAAGCTGTGTGGAGATGAAGGTAACAGCAGAATTTGGCCCCTGTAGGCTTCAATGGAATTTTGCTGGCCATATTTATTCAATAATGTCACCACTACCCCTTCCCTTACATAACTGATGACAACTTGCGCAGCTGTCACTTGGTAGGTAGCCATCCGCATGGACAGGTTGGTGGGTTTTTACTTTCTGCTGGTGTTGTTCAATATTATCGTTGGACAATGTGATTGATGATGGATGTGTGGATGGGACATTTTATTAGGGGTTTCATTTTTTAATGAAGGACTTGTCAAATGTCTAGGTATATTTATTTACTATATACCCCTTACTTATTCATGAAGAAATGGCTGGAATCTAGTAACCCCCTTTTATTCTCAAAG